ACCCATACTTTGCCAAGAGAGTTCCGCACATGATGCATGAGGTTGTGAGGGAGTCTGTGAGTTATTTAATTTTACGGAGGTAATTATTCTAACCAACAAGTGGGCTTACACTGGGGCTACTATGCATATTAGCTAACATAAAGCTGCCATGTCGTCTTGATGCCAACCAACATGCTTTACCATTAATTAATCCTAACGGGGCGGTGCTGATGCAGAGCTCATTCGATGTCCCATGACCTAAACTCCTTATTCTTCTTAAAATTTATATTTTATTACATAAAAGGGTAGCAATACATAAACCTAATAACTACTTATAAAAAGCTATATATAATCTCTTATTTGATTTAACATTTATAGTAGATCTAAGTTTCTGTTCTTCTTCTTTTTCTCTTTCTACTTTAAGATTATCCCTGAAGAGATAAATAAATATGAGGTTTATATACCTTCTTTCTATCTCCTCGGCCTTTTTGCCACTGGTAAGCGCTACCTTCTTACTCTTTTAATTAAATCTATAGTATTTACAATCTCTGCCAGGCCTTTTCTCTAGCTGCACCACTTAAAGACTATAAAGTCTTTATTCCTCAGTGGGAAGTCGAAGTTTCACCTGGTGGTTCTATGGTAATTCTCAATGGTACAATTGAGCAAGTTCATGATGAGCTTATTAAGCTAAATCCCAACTGGGACAACGAATACCTTGGAGAAAACCCATCGAAACATAGTGAAAATTCCACACGGTTACTAGATAAGCGTACTGACTTTTCCGGCGCTCAATATTTCTGCCGCGGTCGCTGGCCGGAGGCCTTCCGCAATCCCATTAATACAGGAATTAAATATTTGAGAAGAGTAAATGGTCGGCCGACGAATGGGGCAGGCCCTGGTAATTGCGGCCGAGTCAGCTGTTCTTATCGTTCTGCGATCTGGTGGTGTAATGATGTAAGTGTATATGTTCTAACCCTAGCGCGTTGCGTGAACATTACCTGACTTGTTTCTTTCACAGGATCATCAGCCAAAAACACTAGAATCCTTCGGCAGTATTGCAGATGGCGCTCAATATATCGTGGACCACTGTACTCGCAGCTTCCCTGGTCACAATCTTATTCTTGTATCTGGCCAAGTATTCCACAAAACAAATTGGAATGTTATTGTCAGAGAGGACACAGACTCGTGTTAATGGTGTCCGACTTAGGTGCTGGGAAGACGCAACAAGGCTTCTAGAACGGCGCTAATGGGACTATTTTGTATTCATTGACACTGTCTGCACTGTCTACATAAGCAAAGGTTGCCAGATCGCAGTATACTTTATAGTACATTATACTACTTTAAGATGTCATAAATAAGGAAGTATTAATAAGTGTATATAAGTACTTGTGGTCCGTGCTCAAATGTTTCTGGATGTGTGAACAGGACGTCCATTTCGCTCCTAACTGTAATATAAGATATTGGTTTTCTCAGTCGAAAATTGGGATAAATATGTCGCCGGAAGTGGAATATTCTTATCGTGATCATAAAGATTATTAACATTCAGTATAAACCTTGGGAATTCGAATGTGCATGCGTTAGTTTGTGAATCTATCTTCATGATGCCTCGTAAGAACGGTAAGATTTTAGTCCGTTGTTGTTGCAACTCCTTCGAATTTGCTGGGATAGCCACTAGAAATAAGTATGGTTTCTCAGTCTTCCTGTATCCGATGTCATTTATGCGGCCAATGAGTGCAAGGTCAACTCCATTCACTAGAGCTCTATCGGCCGCACAGCTGTTGTAGAAAATCTTGGCCCATATTGCCGAATCCTTGGAGCATTGTCCCTCTACTCTCAGTTTACGACAGAGGAATGGGGGAGGTAAAGAAGAGAGCCAATGCAAAAGTTTCACGCATAGCCTTGTTACAAAAATTGCCATTCTGATGTGAATAAACGATTGGGAATTGCATGCGTGGATGTTACATATGCGTTGTAACTATGATAAAAGCTATGTACTGTATCGGGTGCTCTATGGAAATATAAAACATTATCAGCCAGGCTAATGTCGCTTTTGTAATGTAGTATCTATTTCACTGGTAATGATGGTATACACCTTGGCCTCTGCCAAGATTGAAGGCATAATGTAGAGTAAGGGATTTCTAAATTAAACCAAAGTTGGAATTGAACAGGCCGTGTGTGATTCCGCTCTCTAGGCCGCATATCAGCAAGGCGAATTGTGTATTTATTGTCTTTAAAATATAATACCTTCGTTTGGCGATTGTTATCAATAAAGTTATTAAAACTGTCAACGGTAATTCCATTAGCGTCGAATAGCATATCCGGCTTCTTGATCCATAAGATGACATTGTATTCTGGCATCTTGAACCTTCCCTCTCTTATGCTTATACTCGCTTCGGCATCCAACCATGTTAGAATAATGTGCGTCGGAGTACAAGGCGGATGGTTATCGCTATTGAGACAAAGATTATACACGCGGTCTAGGTCACTGCCAATTAGAATAGCATTTCCCCATTCTGTAAGTCCATTCTTAAGCTCTTCTACACCTTTCATAGATAATAACAAAGTCCAAATGCCCCCAAACAGGGCACGTGAAGTTAAATCATAAGGCAATCTTCCACTTCGAATAGCGTTTGCAAGAGAGAAAGGATCGAGATAAGTAGCCACCTCATTTCGGATCTCCTGCGGAATAGGAAGCGGTAAAAAATGTTTTACGGTTGGGCTGTGCGTCATGTTGTAGTTAAGAATACAGTACAACTGCGTGGGGACTTAAATAAATAAAAAAAAAAAGAAAGAAAGAAGAAAGAAAGATTGCATTGTTGTATTGTTTTATGCAAAAATACCTTCCTCTCCACTAAGACTCTAAGGGATGCGGGGCAATCCATAAGTCTCATAAAGTACTTGAAAGTATATAGGACTGCATTGGAAAATAAAATACATGTAATTCCTGCGATTTATAAAATGTGCAGAAGAAAATGTGCAAAGGGATCATCATTAACCTCAATAATATAGTTCAGTGCTTTTCTGGTTGGATTAACGATGTCGACATTGGGTTAAACTTATGAAAGAGGGTTCAAAAGCGGAAGCTACTTTTGCCCAGAACAACAATGGGACTGCGGGTAATTAATTCGATCTAAGTGCAGTACAGCCCCGGATCTCAACACCATATTGCATGCATTAGAGTATAATCTCGCGCGCGCCAAACTACCTGCCTAGCGCAGGTTGTGCCGGCGGAGGAGGGGAGCAGGGGGGACGTACGAGGCGAGAGGCATCTTGTATACAAGGAATCGCCCCGGCATCGTATGAATCGCCGGGATATTGACTACCGCTACTGCGGTCTGCAGCTACTACTGCAGCTATTACCTCTGCTGCCGCTGTACGAGCCAGGTATATCGAAACACTCCTGCTGCCTCTTACGTTATCATGCCTCGCGCATCAGCGGCCATGAGCACTTATTTTCAATAGAAGGGGCTATATGAAGATCAGTGGCCCTGCGCAACGTGCCTTTCGGGGAACGGTATATTACCGCCTCTTAGTTGTCACGGAAACACCCAGCAAAAACCGATGCTTACAGTCAAATGGCCCCTATTCTTTACAATTCAGCCTAAAAATACATAAATAGCCCGCTAACAGTATATCTAAAAAACTGTCGCTGATGCAATAAGCGATGAGCTTAGGTGTCAAGACCACAGTTTTTCATCCACTAAGAGAATAGAAAAATATTGTGGTAAAACTGCTTGGAGTATATTATATACTTCTACTGAATAAACCCTTGTGTATGATGGTGGAGCATGAGCCGTGCTGTAACACTGCGTTGAGAACTTATGCTGTACCTCTTTAGCTCCAGGTAAAGCAAAATTTCTGCGTTTCATGTAACACTGATCACTGCATCATTTGAATGAAAACAGTAAAAATTGCACACAGCACAAAATATAATAGGCTGAATCCAGCAGAAAGATAACCTAGCTTTGTAAAACGGTATACAGGAGCATACAAGATTGTGGATGCTATATCGCATGCCAACCCTATTTAACCTATCCTCTCTCATCAATTAACTTCTGGTTCTGTAATATACACACAATGTGTGACGATCTGTTCCCTAGTTCCTAGGTTATCGTTGTAGGGTAGGGAGATTCCCAATGGATAGATGCGTATGTCTATGTTGGCAGATGGGATAGGATATCCCGTTGAGCACGTTCGCGTAGTCACGTAGTTGGTAGATAAGATGTAACTCGTATCTGGTACTATTAAGGCGTTAACGACTGAATATCTAAGCTATTTAATGAGTGTATCTTGAACGTCTTATATAGTAAGTCGTTTCGTGAGGCCGACGGAAGTCGATGTCGGCTTTCGTCGACTTTTATCGTAGGCCGATCAAGGTCGACAGCGGCCTGTGTCGACTTTTCGTATGATTGGTCCTTCGGTCCGTACCTAATCCGTGGTACGTACCGTTGCGATGCGTTTGGGTCGTAACACAATGGATCTCTTAACAATTGTCATCAAAAGCTTCAGGTTCCATAATGTCCCACCCATGGCTTTCTTGACAAGTGTCCTCGTCAAAATCAAAAGCTTCAGGTTCCATAATGTTTATATTACGGCTTCTTTGAATAGTATTGGTATGAGATTTAAACACGTTAGGTTTAATCCTTCCTATATGACGATTTATTGGTTTTAAGTGCCTTGTCCTAGGAACCCTAGAGTACTGTCCGGGCATTTGTTTTATATAAAGGCCCTGGTGAAAGCGAAACGGCGGAATCTTATCTGCGTCTTCGTATATATAAGCTATGCCTTTATAATTATTGTAAATAGGAATAGGTTTTATACTCTTGTCTTTTATGCATTTATAATAGAAGGCCTTCTTACAAGCCTCATCAATTTCCTTTAAAATACTTTTATCAAGAGACTTCAATATCTTATAAAAATGGTAACTGTCGCATTTTTGTTGCTGAGCAAATGCAAGGGCACATTTGATCTGTGCCTCTTGGAAGATTTTGTAATAAACCTCAGCTTGCCCGTCCATTGTACCTAGTAGTAAAGAAAAGTTAGCTAGGCCTGCAAGGGCTAAATCCACTATTATAAGCACCTTAGAAAGTTGTGCTTCTTTTCTTGTCGTTGTATACTAGATTTTAAAATTCACTTATTTCTTAAACTTCGACTTTAACTACATAAATATTTCTAAGCTTTATATATTTACATATACTTACATACAGTACCTACTTATGTATCTCATTTACAATACTCTATATGTTCCTTAAATCTATCCATTTCTGGACTTGATCCATTTCTGGACTTGATTTATATCTTTTGGTTTTTTCTTATTAATGTATTTCTAAATTTTATTTTATGTACTGTACTATATATAGTCATACAGCTAAAATGGCTGCTTACAAACAAGGCATTAGCTTCAATATAAACAAATTTTACCTATATAATATTTATGCATACTTACATGCAAGCGGCTTTATAATTCCAAGTACACAATATACACAGCATATAAAACAATTAATATGGGGCTTTACAGTTAGGAGCGAAATAGCCGTCCTATAAAATCAACTCTTTAGCGCATGAACATGTATTTTACAGTGCTAATTATCTGATTTTATACGGAGCACTTAGACCGATACTAGCTTTTGAAACCGGATTTATATTACAGTATGCCGGATCACACATCCTGTACCTTGGGCAGCAGCAGCCCAGCAAATTATAGCTGTACTAGCTGTAAGACCCATCATATTCTAATTCCTACCTCTAGAGGCCGCGCTGCTGACCTCGTTGCTCAACTTGCTCAACTGTCCCTCTCCTCTCTTCAATCACCTATGTATCCACACCTATGTATCCACACCTATGTATCCACTATTTAAGCGGTAAAATAGTGCTCATGTTGTCATCTCGTGCGTATTTTCATTTTGCGATCCCTGACTATAATACATAGTATTTCGTGAGTGTGCAAGATGAACTTTCTGGCGAGCCAGAATTGGCTCACTGTTCACGGTGGTACAAGCTAGTATAGCATATAAACCCACAAGTAACTACCGGTAAAATAAACGCTACTAAAAGCATTATTTAACATGGCCCGCGATACATATTTCCGTAGAATTTTTTATAGATTGCGATTTGCAGTCTCCAAGCGCGTTGCTATGATTAGCTTGTAGAAAGCCTTTTTGGCTATAGAGATAATAGAGAGCAAAGAATGGGAAGGAAATGGAAAGACGGGGGAGCCTGTCCTAGTTTTATTGTGCCCCGCAGTACCTACGGGGTACAACTAGAAACTTAGAGGTACAAGTCCACAATTAGCCGTCGCCTTGTTACTAAATTAACTAAGAAAACCCGCGACACCCATTTCGAACTTTACGGTAGACTGCGATTTGCAACCTCCCAGAGCGTTGCTATGATTAGCTTGTATAAAGCCTTTTTTGGCTATAGAGAGAGAGTGCAAAGTGAGATGGAAAGGCGGCGGGGGCCAGTCCTGGTTTTGTGACAGCGTCCCGCAGTACCTGCGGGGTACAACTGGAAACTTAGAGGTACAAGTCCACAAATAGCTGTCACCTTATTACTAAATTAACTAAGAAAACCCGCGACACCCATTTCGAACTCTACGGTACAACCCTTTGAAGCTATGGCTTCTTTACTTCAAAAAAAGTACAATCGGTTGAAGGGCTGCCTCGGCCCTGCCTCCTTAGACACAAGCAAATTTATATAAGTCAGCCGATTCTGGCTGTTGTTAAAAACGAGACTTTCTATTGGACAGCAACACACTGTGCGTTATCCCCACTTGCCTAACTTGGAAATTGTTAATATTAGCGATCCGGACGCTGAATCTGGACTTGGCTGTAGCATCCTCTTTTTATATAAGCAGGTGTAAAAGGCTTTATATAGTGCGAATGAAGCACTGTAAACACTGTTTACTTGTATGACTAAGAGGGCGACTTTAGGCGCAAAGGTTTCCTGGGAAGCCGAACTTGGCTAGACGGTGGCGACGCGCCCCTCATGTTGAAGCAAGGCAACTCAGACGCTTCATCCTCCTCTAGATGTCCTCTAGATGGCGCCGAGGATATCCAGGATCCAGCGAAAAGAGCTCTAAAACGTCATCATTAGTAAGTTACAAGGCAAAGAAGATATTAATGATGAAGATATAGCCGCACAAATCATTAAGTGCATAACATGATCTGTACGAACGCTCGCTTAAACATACTTTAATATGATACGATCGATGCGCCTGTAAAAGCGCTTGGGCGATCGAAGGAGATCATGGAGAACATGTGGCTTGCTATACGGTGTGAACTGGAACAGCGTCCAGATTTGAGTTAACAAGACTTTCTGTTTAAGCAGCATAGTGTACGTGTCTCCAGAGCTACGATCGGTCGAGGGATTTAGCGGCGGGCATGGACAAAAAAGATCATGGACACTGTGGAGAAAGAGGTAATCAAGAGTGGCGAAATTTTTACATCGAGAAACGGTCCTATATTGATCCAAAATACATGGTGTTTATCGATGAGGTTGGCGACGACCGACATAGGGCGATGACCAAAAGAGGATATGCCCCAAAAGGTGTACGACCGTGCAGACCAAACGATTCCACCGAGGAAAAGGAGTATCAAGTTTGCAAGCGTACACCTTGAATGGATCATCTACTCTGAGGTCTATGAGGAATATACAAATAATGAGGTATTTGAAGGCTTCCTCGAGAGGCTTCTTCCCCATTGCGGCACATATCCAGGGCCAAAATCTATTGTCTACATGGACATGCATCACGGCACGATCTTTTAGTAAGGCTTAAAGATATGTATGCGTAAGCAGGTGTGTTGTTAGAAGCTCAATCACCATATTCACCGGATTTAAACCCAACCGAGTACTTCTTTGGTTTAATTAAGAAACACATAGAAAGTCGCGCAGTGGAGGATAAAGATCTCATACAAGCCGATTTTAAAAGTTATTTCCAGATGAAGATATATACTATGGGACACGGTGAGAATGGCAAGAGGTGGGCCAAAGGATACTTTAGAAAGGCCCCAGTCCTGCGACAAATCTGAAGCATCATGGCCGCAAATATCTATTGCCGAGGACTAGGTATGGAGAAATAAAGGAAACAGTTTGCGGTCTGAACGTCTACTATCGTTAACTTATTACGCATGCAGGGGGGTTTCTCCTCATATTAATGTCAATTCTTCCGGCTAGGAGGTCGGGTCTGAAGGAACGGAAAAATCCGTTTGTGGGATATGAGGTTTTTCCTGGAAGGGTTTCCCCTTATGCTGTATATAGAGAATTCGCTATCCATTGTTTTCCTTTCTCTTTTCCTTTGTCACTCGAAGCTCCTTGATCAGGGCTGGCAAGCGGGCCCTAGCTTAGAACGACCTTTTCGCCTGTTGAGGATTGTGGCTATATATTTAACTATGGTCGAAAATGCCAACCAAACCAAACCAAACCGCCCGGAATTCACGTTCAAGAGTAAGCACTTCATAATTAGTTGAGCTCTTTCTGATCTTATCACGTGAGGCCTGCCGTGTGACCATGAATGTTGGATCATGGGTTCTTGACTAAATTACGTCTCGATATCCCGATACCCCAGTGTGTTGGGCAGCTTTTGCTGGAGCCACCAGTGTGTATGGTGAAAAACGAAGATTGTAAGGTGTTGTGCCTCATCATCTAGGATTCAAGACTTTTATCCATCGCAAAGATCGCCCTCCCACCAAGTAGCATGCCGGCTGAAGGATATTCCGTTTGGCATCACAAGATGCGATATGTACTGCCTCCTCGCACTTTGATGCTGAGTAATCCTTGTAGCAGCTATTTTGATTAGGTAAATGCTTAGGATATTTGCAAGTTCCTGCTTCGTGAGCCGGGGATTCGTACAGGCAAGGTCTCTTCTCTAAGGCTGCAATGGCAAGATCGAGAAGGAATTGTTTAGGCAGGTTATCTTTACTGGCTTATTCTGTTAATCAGCCTTCATGTCTATGGTAGGTATACATATTAACCAGAAAGCACTGAGCGGCCGATGATTCCAGGGCCCCTTCATATGTGCAGCGGATGGCCGGCCCAATAGGATACCAATACAGACCGTCTGATATCTGGGATTTGGCCAAGATTACATCTAGGACAGCGTCTTTGAATTGACATCCTGAGGCACCTCTCCTAATACATATACTTTTGCAAGTTGTACGTATTCAATGTTCCCTTCTTGCCTAAGATTGTCATTGTGGACAGGGAGTGTTTTACCGTACAGCCAATTCAGGTATACCTCGAACACTTCTGGGTTTTCTTTTTTAGGAGTAATAGATCCACTAGTAGGCCAATAATTCTTTATAGCCTTTGTTGTAATGCAGCTCAGAGCATTTGCCTTGACCGACGATGTCGATACCTTTCGGCAAGGAACCGCAGCATATCTTAATGGTAGGGACTGGGCAAAGCAGCGAAGAGACAACGCAATTAAGCGAGCAAATAAAGAGTAGGCCCAGAACAAGACACTACGTTCCGTCCAGCCTTGGTCTTGCTGCGGCTCAAGCGTTTTTGGTTCACAGCTGTATCAAGATGACGGCAACCACATTGCTCAAACACATCCTATCCTCTCTGCCAACATAAACTTGGTCTAGGTTTATCACCTTAGGAATCTACCCTATGCTTAAAGTATAAACTGGACGTCACAATAAAGGAAAATAAAACTCTCTCCTACATGCAACTCTGACACCTAAATTTTTAATACCTCATCCTGTAAAATATATAATAGCTTCACAATTACATATAATATTTACACTACATTGAGTAGTATAAGAAGACACTGGAGCCTTTATATGTCTAGCTCCAATTATGTTCTCAGACTTATCCTAAGACCGAGAGGTCTCGTCAGTTTCCATTTTATTTAGATGGCTCTTGTTTTTTATATCGCCTCCTTTCTCCTCCCTGTGTAGTCCCTCGTTAGCCCTCTTATCAACATTGCTCGGGCTTGGTACCGGGCAGAATGGGTGGGATACAGCCTCCCGGCACGGATGTTGGCTCCCAGTCATAACACTGCCCATACTGGAAGGCTTCTGAGCGTTTAAAAGCGCAAAGTCACCAGAGTCAAAAAAAGTCCTATTCTACAGCCGATGCGGAGGTTAGCTTGATCTATACTCAGTGGCAATGGAGAGAGCTAGGTGCAGGAATCACATACCTCCAGCTGATGGCCAAGAAGATCTCCTCGACTTGGCAATATTCCATACATCTTTTGGAGATGCGCCTCCCTATTACTCTTCTTAACCTTAGGAAAAGGTTTCAGTTTCGGGGAGTCATCGAACAATAAGAAGATGTGCTCACCTGGGAATCCTCTTTACTCTGGGGTTTCATCATAGGCTGTAGGATCTGTTGGTATTATACCAAAAGGGAGGGATAGAATTATATTCAGAGGAGGAAGGAGCTAGATATAGGTGTAGGCTCTATTTTATTCTCATAAGGCTTAATCGCATCAATCGCAGTCTCTCACCTTGACAGGAATCCAGCACTTTTGGTTGGTTCAAAGGTGATGTCATCACAGTCTTTTTCCTAGTGCATTCACTAATGCTTAAATTAGCATTTCTTATTGGCGCTACATGTTGCCACTAGAGGCCTAGTCGCACAATCCCCGACCTTGGGTGGCGATACATGTCACTGCCCAGGTAGCCAGGCTTACCCGCTATCAAAGTAGAACATATCCCATCACATTCATTGACCTTTTATCAAACACACGTAGCGCCCACAGTTTATTACCTAAGGGGTTTTTTTAATGCCTTTTTTAACTAAAAAAAATCCATGGCCTAGGCCTACTGCGCACAGATAACTCTACACAAATTTTTGCTACTGTTGTTGTCGGAATGTATACGATATACCCACGACAACCTACCCTTAGAGAGATTCTCTTGAATACCTCTCCACCGCCATGGGCTTTACGTGCCTTCAACGCTCATCTCTCCCAACATCATTGCGAAGAGACTCTCCAATTTAATCGGGACGCTGAGAACTATGCTGTCTTCTATAACCAGCTAGTGGGCGAGAGCCCTACACAGCGTGATAGGCGTGTAATATCATCATGGCAAAAGCTGATACGACTCTATATTGCTCCTTGTGGGCCACGACAAGTAAATATCTCTCATAGTGAGCGGGATCACCTCTTGAATCTCCCGTGTGGACCTCACCCCCCCAACCCTTCTGAGCTAGATGAGTCTCGCAAAGTTATTTGCGACCTCATGAACGATTCCCTCCTCGACCCCTTTTTCGACTTAGTTAATCCTATGCAGCGCGAAAGTGAGCTTGTACAACAAAACCCCTTCCCCCCCGCTGATGTTCATACTCAACCAAGCATACGTCAAGATGCCGCACAAGTGGCTTCCTATAGACATGCCATGACGTCCGAGGGCCGGGTGGATGAGAGCCGGGTGGATGAGAGCCGGGTGGATGAGAGCCGGGTGGATGAGAGCCGGGTGGATGAGAGCCGGGTGGATGAGAGCCGGGTGGATGACAGCCGGGTGGATGACAGGCTTTGCCTGAGATATTGTTGGATGAACACTGAAAGCTGTGCGGGGCGATTCGTAGCTGTAGCTTGGGTTGCTGATGTGACATTTTCTATACTAGCGCCTGGCTGGTTTAACGTTGTGGTGGTCTACGGACTGCCACTAGATGGCTCGCTTGTAATGTTTTGAAGGAATTCCTTGCTAAGGCTGTGGCCCGCAAGATATAAACTACCTGTGTAGTTAGCTCTGTATCCCCCCGATTCAGTCATGATTTATACTGCTAGATCTACTCATCAGACCCAGAGCTCAGGGTATAAATAGAAACAGATGTACACGCAAACGTCGATCTGAAAAGTAATAATGTGTAACAATACATGTCTTCGTTTATAGTCTTGATTGAACTTGAATAGTTTGTATATAAGAGGTCTGCCCTCTGACTTCTTGACCAGATAGCTCAAGACCTTTCAATAATACCGCAAAATTCGAAATTGGTGTCGCGGACTTTATGGCATCACGTGACCGCAACCAACGACAAAATATCTCACGACATCACGATAGACATCGCCGTAGCACGAAACAGCACTTCACTGAAATAAACCATGGTGAAACGGAAATCCGACGACAGCGCGCCCTTGCTGTGGAAAAATGCCAAACTGCAATGCCAAGTTATTCACGACAGTAACGTTACCGACACTCACCCGCTGCACTCAACGTACTCACCACCATTATCTCTAGCTTGCGAAACGTAAGAGAACACCAATTTCTCTGTCTGACACATTCGAGGCACCAGAAACAAAACGGGCTCGCAGTAGTCCGTGCGAATCACCGGATCCAGACTTAGGGCCGTGGCCGGGGATCGGTTGCAACCCACGCAAAGAAGAGCCGAATTTGATAGAACAGAAGTATCACCGGTCGTACGAACAGTACGTGTCGTTCAAAGAAAAATACGAGGAGTACGATAACTAATCGGCCGACCACCAAAACCCACTACCAAGCTCAGGACCTTCCGATGAGATTACTTTCTTGTCACCGCCGCAGACAATGTCGCACGATATCACCTCAAGGAAAACGGCGGCAGTCTCCCAAGAAGGGCAAAGATGAAAACAAGCGGAACATGCGGAATATGCCACGAGATGAAGGATATACCCTTTAACCCGGTAGGACTGGGGGCAGCGGGTAGTCTTTCAGATATATTGGCTTCTGGCAGGGTCGGAGGCAGCAGCGTAACTGAAGAAGCATGCAAATTAGGATGGAGCTGGTTCCAAACACATGATCGTTATCTGGCAGGGCTGAGTGTAGCGGCGAAGTTTTTGGATGCCTCATGAATAGATTCCTGGTTCGTAATTTCACTATGTACATGTGCGGAGGAAGAGCGTTGTTTTTTGTTTTATGATACATTCATTTATTCATTTATTACGCCCGGTGGAGAGTCCAAAAGGGCAACTATGAACCTATGGCACGTGTACATTCTGAAGCTTAGCTTTTGTCCCATTGAAACCCATGAGTCCTTGTCATCCAGTTTCTGCTCTTGCAATTTGTTCTCTTGCTTCGCTACGGTTTTCGCGTTTTATCATTCTTCACAGCGGGCTAGCTTGGAGCTCATTCCCCAAGTGTTCAGGATCCTATCCACGGCAGCTGAAGCGGTGTCTGCTGTTTCTAGCACGAGGTGTTAATGGGAGTTGGCCGTGTTATTCGTTTTCCAGCCGTCCTGTGGCCAATGCAAAGCGGATTGTTGCTTGCACTGCTTTTAAATCCGGCATCCAGTTTGGTCCATCGGATGGCGCCTTTCCTCCTAAAAAGAATGAAATATTTCCTCTTTTAGTTTCACTGCATTGGTACATCTCCGTGCGGTACGCATCACACCTTGTGCATCGAAATAAGAAATGTGCTACTGTCTCTGGCTCATGGCAGTTAGGAGCGAAATAGCCGTCCTTTTAAAACACCACAGTCATTTGTAATTTACGCACGGACACGTACATTACAGTGTGAAAATAACCGCTTACGCACGCGGTACTTGTCGCAATGCGCCTACCGACGAAAACCTAGCCAGGATAAGCCCTTCGACTGCCCCCACGGTACGCCGTCGCCGATCGAACCAACTTCGTTTTGGAACGACAGCGCCATCGAACGGCGTCGACCGGCCCAGAACTGTTACCCCTAATATGCTGGCTGCCTTGTGCGATAAACTTGTAGATTCCCTATGTGCGTTTGAAGGATATGGTTGCGTTTCTCCGCAAGGAGTTTGATGCCGATGTGACTCGTTTTAGCATGCGTAGAGCTTTAAAGAGCGCGTATATTATACGAAGAAGATTACAAGGAATGTTGCTAAGGAGCGTAACCCAACTTAAGAGCCGATCATATATCAGAAAGGTCAATTTTTAATTCCTGCCTCAACATTCATGTAGCCAATCAATTAGGGATGTAAGGGGAATAAACGGATATTATCGTAAGCCGTCGAGTTAACCGACCTTTAGCCTGATAGGTGCCTTTAATTGGTCAATTCAAGTCACGTGACTAAACTGCTCCTTAACGTTTATAAAGTAGCGTACGAAGTCCTCTGCCGTGGTGCGCGATTTTGAAGCTAACCATCCCAACCACCTTTTATCGCGTCACTACGTGTATCCTACGTATTTCATCATGGACAATGCTGTTATCGCATCTGTTAGTCGAAATGTCAGACGCGATGATGAAAGCTGCTCAGCAACGCAACCCCGTTCCTCGCCTGGGTTAGTGAAGTAGCCCTCGTGCTGTCCTTAATAATATTGCTCGGTGACTGTTGCCTGCGAAACGAGTTCGGGAGATGGCGATGCCTTACTCAGCGATGTTGGGTTGACAGTAGAGTTGAGCTCGTTGCATTAACGCAAACGTTTGGTGACCTTCACCCTCCTCCTGTCCGCCGCCATGGCCAACTCCAAGAGATGACAGTGCTTACTTAGCGAGCTCATCTTTCTTGAGAAGTCCATTGGAGGTGAAGGATCGGGAATTCTGTTGGGGCGACAGTAGAGTTGAGCTCGGTGCATCAACGCATGCGTTTGGTGATCTTCACCCTCCTCCTGTCTGCTGCCGTTGCCAGTACATCATTCGGAGCAATATTATTGAGAGACGACGAGGGTTTTATTAGACCCTTACTAGTACCCCATCCTAATTCCCATCTACGGATTGCTGTAATTTACTAATGCACCGTGACTCTAGGAGCAGTGCTGTCCCCGAAGATATTAATTACGACAGCGATGGCAGGATTAATAGCAGTGCTGCTCCTAACAGCCCTGAAGCTGACGATGGCGAGACAACAACCGCAGCGAACGAAAGCGAAAATAATAAAGACACCGCTACAATTAAAGGCTCTTACAGCATCTTTATGATAGCTTGGGAGGATGCCAATGGTGAAAAAAAGCAGATGAAAGAGATAAAAGGCACTGAGCTTACATTAAACATGGATACCTCGGCCAATACAGCAATGTTTAAGCTTTCTACCTATATTACTCTAAAAACCAGCAGGCGCAATAGTAATAAGCAACGGGTTTATCTACTTATACCCCCTGAGCGGATCAACACTATAACAACCAAAATCTCCCCCCATAGGCGATCAACAGCAGCAGATGTGCCCGATGATTATGCACTGCATTTCTCTTTAACACAAAAGCCTGATTTCATAGGCCCTCGCATTCACCATATTGAATCCAAGCGCGGAACACAAGAACAGCTGGCTTTAATTCAACGCCTCGCTACGATTACCGAGTTTACTATCCATCTCACCAGCTCTGATGCTATCGCACGTAGACGAAAAGATTTTGAGCTAATTACGACTATATTTTCTCTCGAGAATCCTAAAAATCGTCCATACAAAGATAAAAAGCATGGAGATCTTGCCACGCTGTATGCAGGCAAGGGAGGCAAGGTTATTAACATGGACGAAGGTCTTGCGCATGCTGAAGCAAGCCTGCCTCCATATCCTGGCAGATTTCTCCGTTCTCCAATACGTTCTCCTCCATCACGTTCAAGTAAGCATATCATCCTTTTTCTCTCTCTAAGTAGAGCTGACTCTGGAAGAAAAACGCCGACTTGCTTCTAATGAACTCCAACGACCTAATCTCAACAATGCCATTCTCAAGCTACATGCTTCAACCAGTGACAATCATACTCGCTTTGATAATTCTGATGATCAATATGTGGACGAAAAACGCCGACGTCCTTCTGATGAACGCCGACGACCCCATTCCGATGTTAATGATGACCCTCACAGGTTGTCTTTACTCCATAGCATTCAAACCAGCCTTGGTGGCCTTCATACTCGTCTTGATGATATCGAAAATCAATCCAGAACTCGTCATGAGGACCTTCATACTCGGCTTGATGATATCGAAAATCAATATAAAACTCGCTTTAATACAATAGAGAAATCTCTTGGGCAAATTATGGATACACTGGAGAACCTAGATGCTATCCATACCCCATGTCGATATAATTCAGTTGAGAAGGACTCTATTGGCTCTATTATACAAAGGGTGGATGAAAGCCATGACGATTTTTTAACCGAGTTTAACTGGAAATTTTCCGACGCAATTGAGGATCTGAAGAAACAACGTATTAAAGGGGTGACTGCAATTAGTGAAGAGTACACAGAGACTGCAGCGAAACTGGATGACAAAGTAATTTCTCTTAGGAAGGCGTTACAAAACGCAAGCGACGCCCTGAGCGAGTTTTCTTAATGAAGTTATGGATTATAATTGCCTCAGGATAATACCGTAGTGAATTTTCCTCTTTCTTTCAATGTAATTCGTCATTTACCTCTGTGAAAAGGCTGCTACTTATATGCTCCGTAGGTTTTCGGGTTTGCTGTCTGGCTTGCGTTGACTGTAGCTCTGAAAGTTGGTTCTCAATTGCATGCTTAATTGCCCTCCATACATCAAAGAGGTCAAATTTGCTAGTCTTAAGGTATGACTTTAGCAGTGCATGAATACCCTCAACACGAGAAGTAACTGAGTTTCCAAAGTGCATATACTGATTTACCCAGGCCTTGACAAGCTTTTCTTTGTAAGGCTGGAGCCAAGTCTTTTTGATATATGCTACTTCCTCAGCATGGCCTGGGAGGTACTTTTCCTCAAACGATGTCACGCGCTTATTAAATTCCGCTTCTGTTGGTGACTGCATAATAGAGTGCCAGAAGTTATAAAATTCTGCCCAGCCGGCTGTCCCAGACCCCTTCTTCGCAGACGCGTCTGCTGCTATACCAGCAGCTAAGTGTTCTTGCAATGTAAAGATTGGAAGGCAGTGTGCAAGTACTGCTCTATTAGCATACCAGAGGCACAGTAGAGACTGCGCTTCTAGAGATACTATATCAATTGCATTCAGACACGCCACACAGCAGTCAGATAGCACCACCGAAGGCAGCTTAGCGCCACACGCTTCATAAAGAGATCGAAGTCGTTCTAGAGCCCAGACATAGTCTTCCTCTTGTTCACCATTTAGAAATGCAAATGCTATGCAAAAGGAGCGCTGGCAAGCATCAACTCCAATCATGTCGAGGAGTGGCATCTGGTATTTATTAGTCTTATATGTGCAATCCAGTAGCAAGAGATCAGAATAAGCTTGGAGATGTTGGAGAGAGCCAGGGTGAGCAAATAAGATGGCTGTAACCCGCTGATTCTCATCGACACGAACACGGCTCCAGAAGCCCTCTCGATCTAGTTGGTTGATTAGGGCATTAATGGAGCTCTGGCCTTCATGCATGCTACCTTTTACCTCAGCAATACGATTGTAAATACCTTGTCTAGTAGCCAATGAGGTTGGGTTTTGCTGTCGTAAATATGTTTGGATGTCTCTTGGCGAGATACCGGCAGAAACAAGCTCCGAAAGAGTTGCCTTGCCCGAGGCATCTAGACGACGATATACTGGATGAGCTGATGGATGGGGGCTTGGAATGTGGTTGTGCTCTGAGTGTCGCTGATCTGGCCGGTGTTGCAGGTACCAGGTAGTCTTGTCTAGCGATTCCTTGGCTAATACCGAGAATGGGCAGCCAGTACCGCGAGTTGTGGTCTTCCTTTTTGGTTCCTTCTCTACTGAAACTCTGAGTTGCCAAGACCTATCGCATGCATATGTGACGATCTTCCTGCCGCTAGATTTCGTAGTTGACTTCCGCGTAATGAAAGCATATCCTCGCGCAGCGGCCCATGTATTGATTGCGGTAACCAGCTCCTCGCGAGACTGGTATTCAGCTTCTGGGGGAAGACAGTTGTCAGGAAATGCATCTGTTTCACCGGAAGAACAAGCTCCTGAAATCGTTTCAGTTAAAGTACTCATTATGACCGGCGAATTTGGGATAATAATACTGCATAACTATTCATTTGCAGAACGAAGGATTGAACGCGCCCAACGCGCTGAGAATGCTAGCCAATAGGATGAGATATGGTCCACAAATACGTTATCGCGGCGCCCGGGCGCTGATTTTATTCCGGCGCCTGGGCGCCGTTCCAGTGGGAGCCGCCGAAAGGGCACTGATTACTAATACATACACAAGTTGCCTAAATTGTGTCCTAGACTCCTCAAGCCCATCAAGCCCCCGCAGCGGGATCCGCCATGGTGCAGGAATCGGCTCCACACGACAGCAAATTGATTGATAAAGTGGTTTCAAAACGTAAGTCTTGATTAGATACAGTTAGGAGCGGAATGGGCGTCCTATGTCACACACTCAGAATAGTTAAGCACGGACCATGAGTACTTCAAAACACTTATATATACTTGCTAAGACTCGTTTAATCGATGTACTCAAAAGTAGTTTAATGTACTAAGAAGTATAGTCTATTTCGCAACTTTGGCCAAGGTAGACAGTGCAGATAGAGTCAATGAATACAAAATAAGCCCAGTCCAGATACATGCCTCAAAAATTAACGGACTACTAAGTGGGGTGGGTCTTCTTCTCCGCCAGCCTACACCTCAGGCCCAAACGTGGCTTGATCGTTCCTGGCATCCTCTTCATTACATACGATGAGTGACGACGACTGCGTGAATGAATGGTTTACTGACAATGAGATACCTTCTCAACTCTGTAATATCCCGACTCCCACGCGCCGGCGGAGCCAGGTTAAGTGATTAGAATCGGCATAGCGAATTTCATCTAATCTAGATATATACTCATAGACGCAGCTTGTACATCGCGACACTCCAGGACCCTTGTGATATTGACTAGATGAGTATGACCACTGAGGGAGGCTCAGGGAGGCTGCGGGTGCGATCCATCGATAATTGGTATGCAGAAGTGATCGATGAGGCTGCTTGCTCTGGGATGCGCGACCTGAATGCAAGTATACACAATCGATCGAATTATTCGCAAAGGAATTACCCCGCACTAAATGACCCACAATCGACCACTAAACCCTCTTCTGGTATAGTGCTTTTAGCTATAACGGAAGCACGAAATTAGCTTCAAACCGATTCCATTGATCACACCGCTAACCATGAGTATCGAAGGTTGAAATGTAGTGAAGCCATTTAAAGTTTTATGGTGAGGGCCACTCTNATATAATCAACCAATGAGAAATAAGAATAGCATCAAATACCCACTCATTTAAGTACCAGATAGACAATAAATTAGGCCGCTATTATTTCCTCTGCGACATTTACTATCTGCTTTATTTATAAAACATCTTCAATTATATAAATTCAGGCCGTGTAAAACTTTTATCTGCTCTGTTTTAACCCTTACGATAATATATTCGAGTTAAATTGTAGCCCTTATATACTAATCTCAAAACTGCATATGTTTTAGTAAACGTAATATCTAAGCTCTAATTGAATGTATTGGTGATTGTACCTGATCCAGTGGCATATATTCCTGAAACAAAATTGCGAGCTTTAATAGGCCCGTGGAATACCGCCCCTGGGTAACTTTGAGAACTTTTAGCTGCTGTCTGTGTGTTCTGTACATTCCCATTGACCTGCTTTAAGCTTTCTGTATCTGTCTTTGTATATCTGCGAAGCAAAGCCTTCGCAGCAGCTGCTGATGTTGCCGCCACAAAGTTTTGCCATATCTTGCTTTTGTGGCTATCGGCATAGTCACAAACACCCTTGACAATAATGCACGGCACCTCTTCCCAAATACCAGCTCCCTCCATCTCAAAGGCAATTACACCTTCATCTCTCGCAATCTTATCCCGGTCCATCCCATATTTCATAATAGTGTC